AAAGGTGAGTACGCAAGTGCATGCAGGCCAGCTAGAAAAGGTACGCGAGGAGGTACCTAACAGTATTGAGGCTCCACTGCAGCCACTTCATCACATGAAAAACCCTACAAACAGCATCCTCAAATCAAGTGGTCTCTTCGCAGATGCTGCAAATTACAGTATCTCAATCATTATGCACTCACACACACAATATACAAACCCACACAACGCCAAGAAAATACCAAGAATCGAAAGAGAATTGGCTGTGATGGAGAGCCAAGGTTTAAGTTATTGTTTTCAAACACACACACACACACACACACACACACACACACACACACACAAGGGCGTCGGAACCGCACCGGCCGGCGCGGCCATGGCCGCCTCACTTTTTCGGCCGTTTTTTTTTTTTTTTAGCACACTGCAACAAAGCGCGATGATCTCAGCGCAAACGTGGCAAATTCTTGTCTGTCCCTCCAGGAAATCGCGATTCCACGGACGCAACAAATTTCGCGATTTTGGCCCAAACCCACGATTTTCTGAAAAATCCGCGATTTCCCGCGTTTTTTGTTGTTTTCTGCACTTCTTTTGACATTTTTCTGCACTTTTCACGCAGTATACAGTGCTTCCCATGATCCTGCTCGTAGGTTATTTCCACAGTACGGAAATAGCGATTCTAAGGATACAACAAATTTCGTGATTTGGCCCAAATCCGCAATTTTCTGCCAATAATTCCGCGAGTTCCGGGCAAGTTCCGCACTTTTCGCCGCATTTTTTGTTGTTTTCTGCCGCAATTTCTTGCGCAGGTTTTCGAGGATTTTTCCGCAAATTCCCGCAGGGACAGCCTTGTCCCCGATCGTGGTTTGTTGCAGAATCAAAAGTCCATGTTGTTGTTGTTGTTGTTGTTGTTGTTGTTTATTTTACTTCGCAGATTCTAACGGGCAAGTTGCCCAATAACAAGAAAGCGAAGGCAAAGAAAATAAAAGGCGACGAGGAGACAATAACTTTATTAATGCGATTAATAGTATAAGTGAAGCGGACATTACAAAATGATGAATGAGAATACATGTATCTAAAATGGTTGTTCCTAATCGATTTTCTTGAGAATATCATCAGGGAAAAATCGTCTCACAATAGAGGCTATACGGAAAAACAAACTACTTATAGGTTATAGGATAGTGGGGAGTATACAAGTTGAGGTGTGAAGAAAAAAAAACTAAAGTGGGAGAGAAGACGAAAGAAATTAGAAGAAAAGATGTGAGAGTGTTCCGACGGTGTGAGCTACTACAAAAGGTGAGTGAAATTAAGGCGTGGAAGCAGGTGAATGTGATAGAGTGAGGAAGTGTGGGGTGTAGGTGTATGCGAATGAATACGTGTGTGAATGCTAGGTGAAGAGTCTCAATTTTGTGACATTTTCTTTCTGAATGCAAAATTGAGACTCTTCACCTAGCATTCACACACGTATTCATTCGCATACACCTACACCTCACACTTCCTCACTCTATCAAATTCACCTGCTTCCACGCCTTAATTTCACTCCCCTTTTGTAGTAGCTCACACCGTCGGAACACTCTCACATCTTTTCTTCTAATTTCTTTCGTCTTCTCTCCCACTTTAGTTTTTTTTTCTTCACACCTCAACTTGTATACTCCCCACTATCCTATAACCTATAAGTAGTTTGTTTTTCCGTATAGCCTCTATTGTGAGACGATTTTTCCCTGATGATAGTCTCAAGAAAATCGATTAGGAACAACCATTTTAGATACATGTATTCTCATTCATCATTTTGTAATGTCCGCTTCACTTATACTATTAATCGCATTAGCAAAGAAAATAATAATACTAATAAAAGAAATAGCCAGGGCAGCAGAAAATGAATAATAGCTTTAAGAACTCAGATGGTGAGCCAAGGAACAAATTTCCATGTTACAAATAGTCGCTTTTAAAAGTAAAAAGAAAAGAGCGGGTTGTACAGCAGACTTCCTATTCTGAATTCCCTGAATGAAGCAGAGACATTAGCTGGGTACATCATGTCACTATTACACAGTAGCGAGAGAGCTACCACGGTCGACATCAGTGGACGTGGACTACGAGTGGATGCGACAGCAACAGTGACTGGAATAATGGGTGATACGTTTCATGGAGCGAGCGTATGTGGGATGACTGACATCTTGAACACACTGCGTTGGGGGATGGTGCGGATGTCGCTGGGTAGGGCGTTCCACAGCTTGGGAGCGGCAACAGAGAACCTAGCCTGACCAGCGCGGCTTGCGGCGAGTGGTACGTGCGCTCCGATGTCCTTCTGCAAGCGGGTGTACACTGAAATGGCACCAAATGCCTGGGAATGCTTGCTATTGGCTTCAATTTTTGAATATTTTTCCCGGGGGAGGGTAATGTTTGTCCCCGATCGCAGCATCTTCTTGTTTTTTTGCAGAATCAAAAAGTCTTTCATTGTAGTTTCCGTACACTGAAATGGCACCAAATGCCCGGAAATGCTTGCAATTGGCTTCAATTTTTGAATTTTTTTCCCCGGGAGGACCCCCGACCCCCCTTCCATGGCCGCCCCACCTCCAAAGTCGGTGCGACGCGCCTGACACACATATATACGAACACACAAACTTATACAACGCCAAGAAAACCGTGACCAAGGAAAGAGTAGAGACACAATACACACGCAACTCCAACTGCCATGCAAACGTCACCCATTTACACGTAGAGTAAAGAGGGATTATAAATAATTTTACGAAACGAATGCATACGTGGACGGGTGCACGCACGTTTACATACATGTATTAGTATAAGAGAGTAACATAGTGCAGTAGTCAGCATAATACTAGCACATGCTGAGAGTGCAATAGCAAGCTTCACCATTGCTCATGGCCATGCAAATGTTCAGCAGCACTCAGTTCCGCAAGCTTCTGAAGACCAGCACACCTGCAACAAATAGATAGCACAAGGATACGCTTATTACCGTAATGATGCATACAAGCACACAACTACCAAGTTCTCAATGAATGTGATGCTCAATGAAAAATCCATCCACTCAAAGACCTGTGAACAGGTGACGGTGGGGACAATAAACTCTTAGTAATACGAGGAATAAGATCGTTTGTGTACACCCAAGATGCACAGACACACCAACATACATGTGTTACAGCGTTACCGTCAGTCAAACAGTCTTCTCCAAGATGGAAATGCAATGATTTGTCGTCACGAGGCAATTTCACTGACACAATGTCATGTTTGTGACATCAAAACGGTTACTTCATGGAATACGAGTATTATCTTGAGAATATTTTTCTTGTCATCGGCATACAAGCAATCCTCCTACTACTACTACTAGTACACAGGCACTGCGTTTGTGGATCCCATTGCATTTGACATCATACGAGGAAGAGTGTCGTGGAGTTCATTAATTATCACAGGACAAAATACATTTCTCATGAAATAAAATTGATTATAGCTAGACGATTGATGCAAAGTCCTTGCTGTCCTTGAGGACTGATAGTATTGTCACGCAACTATTACGAAGTCGTTGATTACTTTTAGGACATTCATTCAAGCAACATCAAACAAACGCGATACGCTCCTTGAAATGGGAAAAATTCAAGCATAACGACAGAACAGCAGACCAATCGAAACGAGTGAAAGCTTCCTTACCTCAGTCATTGTCCTGCCATGTAGTTGGACAGCCTTTTGACACGGTGGTACAGGCAGCTCTTGTCCAGTCAAACAAGGTATCCTTGTGGCGTCGAACGAAAGAGAGTGTCAGTGTATCTGACTCGTCAGATCTGAACTGTGCTGAACTTTTCTCACTCTCCGAGGGGCCGCTTTCTGCTTTCATCTCGCGGACTGATGAAACCGTTCAAATGTCTTACTGTCATCAACTGCACAGCAGAACTGGCAGCCATGGCCAGTCAAACAGGGGATCCTTGCGGCGTCGAACGAAAGAGAGTGTCAGCGTACCTGACTCGTCAGATTTGAACTGTGTGGAATTTTCTCGTTCTCCTATTTCTGCTTTCATCCCGCACACTGATGAAACGTCTTCAGAGAACTACAAGACGCTTTCCAGATTGGATTTTGAACGTCTCCTTTTCCTCCTTGGTTACCTCGAGACATATTCCTGTCAGCAACAGCACAGCAGAACTGGCAGCCATGGCTGAAGTGAAGAAAGGAATGCGCCGCCACGAGGCAAGCAAAACTGAAAAGGTGTTTGTTCTCTTTTTTTACTAAATACAGGATCTAGGATGGGGTGACTGGATAAACTGGACTCCTGGACCGTGAATAGGGGACTTGTAGAAAAAGTGTACTCCTTATAGGGGATTGCGCGGCTGGATGGAGCTGATCAAAATTGAGTGGACTCCTGGACGCTGTATACCGTAGTTCTGCGTATACATGTATAAGCCCATGGGCTAATATACAAAATAATGCATTTTCCCGGAAAAAAATCAGTAATAATGGTTCGTTTTTTTAGCCCTGGGCCTATATTCGAATTTTGAAGGCAGCTGGCACGCGGAAAAGTACAAGTCCGTGCACGGTTGTCCGCCTACCGTAGGTACCGGAACTGGTAATGTAGTCTGCACTGACATGCTGTTCTATCGGTTCCAGAACGGTGTTTGGGTCTGTTTATTAGCCCATGGGCCTATAAACGGAGGTGGGCTTATATCCGGATATAGGCCCATGGGCTTATATGCGCGGAACTACGGTAGTCGATGTTGGACCAATGGACTCTATGTAGGGCGATGGACATCATATAGTGCATGGACTTTATACTGAGTCCAACATATATTTACGCCACTTCAGTATGTAGGAAGGGCCATTGTATGGACCCAAGAGTGAATGGTGTGCCATGGTCTGCTCTACGGGCAGATGGTGGAATCCGTAAGGTTAAGTTCTGTTGCTCTGGCCTGGCGTGACGGTGAGTGACTAGATGCTACTTGTTGCGATCGAATATATTGCTCAAACCGTGTTCTGGAAAAAAATTCTTAAGGAGAATCAATTATAGAGATTGTCCGACTTACATTGTTCTTTGCAGAGATCGTGTCGGGTTGGAGATCTAGTAGATACTTGACTACTTCCAGATGTCCATTCCTGGCAGCGCAATGAACAGGAAGACCACCGGTCTGTGTACAGGTAACACACATGACCAGACATTCCTATGCGTTATCCATCAGAAAAGTACTTTTATTCCCGTAGCTATGCAGAAGACGTTACTTCAGTAACGTCTGGCGCTAGCCAGGGTCCACACAGCTTTAATTTGGTGTTTGTTTATGTGTTTGTTTGTGTCACGCCTGGCGCTATCCGTATCTGACGGCAAAAAAGCATAGGATGTTATAAATTTTTGAATTCTCCTATTTTTTCAGGCATATCCTGGGATTCGAACCCGCACTATCGCCCTACATGCATTCCCCCATACACTTCGCATTCATACCCATTCTTCCAAGTTGCTTCACCTTATTATCTTGCGTTTGAAAGCCCTATTTGAATATTGCGGGCGGCTGTATGTGGCCAGCTGTGTTTGATGGTACGGTACGGTACGGGAGACGGTGTCGTATTACCCTCGATCGTACCTGTCCCATACCTATCCCCTACCGTACCGTGCCATCAAAGACGGCTGGCCACAATGCATATTATTATTATTTCACCGTCCAATGGCAGAAGCCAATGCAAAGGAGGGGGCGTTAGCCAGCCATGGCAAGAGAAGAAAAAAAAAAAAAAAAAAAAAAAAAAAAAAAAAAAAAAGATTCAAATAGGGCTTTCAAATGCAAGATCACAATGTGAAACAACTTGGAAGAATTAGTATGTATGCGAAGTGTATCGGGGGATGCATGCAGGGCGCGCGATAGTGCGGGTTCGAATCCCAGGTTATGTCTTAAAAAAAGGATTTTTTTAAAGAATCTATAACATCACTATGCTTTTTTTGTCTAGGTCATCAAGGCAAAAAAGCATAGCGTACGGCCCTGAGCTTCCAAGCTCTCTCGTTGAGTATAATGCACAATACATTACGAAGTGAGGCAGTCTCACGCACAACATTCTAATCAGTCAATTGACAAACTGTTTACAAGCTAGTGAGGCATTCATAGTTCTGCCCTGAAATGGTTCGCTTCCTACCTGAATGGCCGGTACCAGCGTGTATGTATAGCCTCTGGAACATCATCTCTTCTCCCTGTAACCCGAGGGGTTCCGCAGGGAACAATCTTGGGTCCTACCCTTTTTAACCTATATGTGCGACTCTTACCTGACCTGGCTGCAGGGAGCGGTGCAAAGCTCCTCATGTTTGCCGATGACAAGACTTTGTACGCTTCCTCACGAGATCCAATAGTATGCGCCGATGTCGTGTCCTCGGCTCTCGCTAAGCTACACAATGAACTAAGATCACTGGGCATGAGCATTAATGTTGACAAAACCGTGGTCATGAGGATCTTGCCGAAGAATGCTCCGAAAGACCCGTTCTTGTTGTATTGGGCGGCACTACCTTAAGGGAAGTGAGTGTAATTCGCTGCCTTGGTATCCTTATCGATAACAAGCTCTCATTTGTTCCACACGTAGATCACCTCACCAGCAAGGTGTCACGCAAGATAGACGCGTTGCGACGCACCTTCCGACAAATGGCAGCATTTGCCCGTCGCCAGTACCTGCTTAGTGTGATTCATCCCGACCTTGAGTATTGTTTCCCTGTTTATGCATCTCACCTATCAGCACAGTCCAGGGAGAGATTGTTTACCTTGTTCCGTAGAGCTGTACGAGTTACCTGCGGTGCTTCATATCATGCTGCTGTACCACCCCTTTTTGCTTCTCTTCAAATAAAACACCTTGAATATCGATACATTTATCAATTTCTTACGTTTACGTTTATTTGTCATATTTTTCAGCCTGCATCATGCTTACGCAGTCTTTTCCCTTTGCCCACCTCTAAGCGGTCAACTCGTGGAACTACAACAAACAATTTGTCAATTTGCTTGTATAAATCCATGGTTGGGTACAATTCCTTTTCCTCCAGAGCATCCCTTATATGGAATGCCCTCCCTGCTCACTTGAAAGGAAGTGAGGACATTAGATCATTTTCTACAGAACATTTGCACGCTCTAAATGACGACAAATTGACTATATCCCTATATTCCCTCCTTTTTGAAAATGTATTTCACCAATAAAATAAGGCTTGGAATTTTTTAAACATGAATATCGACGGACTTGCCCCTTCTGTTCATGCATTGCCCTGCTCTAGTAATGCTTCATGAATACGCCCAGTCCAAATTCCTTCTCCGTTTCTCTCTAGTAATGGTTCATGAATCCGCCCAGTCCACATTCCTTCTCCGTTTCTCTCCGTTTTTCTTTTCTTTCAGTTCCATCTTTCTCTCTGCTCTGTTTTATTTTCTCTTTTCGTTCGTCCCTCTTGATATTTGTACTTTGTACTGTTGAGGCAACGAACTGAAAAAATAAAAACCAAACCAACCAAACCAAGTGCTGGAAAACCCAAATACATGCTTTAGTGCTGGGTACGAGATTGGTTACAAGTAGTTTGCATTTTTTTTGAGGAAAAGTAATGTTGTAATATTCCTCTTGTGGGCTGCGGGGCATATGATGGGCGCAAGTATACAATACTAAGAACTCTTTGGAATCATTTTATTGACATCTCTGCACACACCAAAACATTCCTGTTCAGGGGTGTAGAGGCATGGGGTCGCTGTCGGTATAGTCACAGCAGGATGTCCAGGTTGTCTCTCCAACTGCTCGATTTGCCGTCCAACTTCCAAATCAGGCCAAGCGATGTCCTGATGAAGCGTTCAGCAGTTTCTTGGGATTGTGGGTGTCTGACGGCTCCTGTCTTCACTCGGACACCGAAGTACTTGAAGACAGACTCAGCGAGCGCGTTCCGAAACTCAGACCCATTATCCATGCGGACAACCTTCGGCGGGCCCCAGAGATTACACAGTGCCATGAACGCCTTGGCAACAGCGGAAGCATCATGTCGAGCCAACAGGATAACTTCGGCCCACTTAGTGAACGAATCGACTGCCGCTAGCGCACAATGGTAGCGGCCACTGCGCTATTGACCAAGTTAAAGTGTGTCTATGACCACCTCTGACCACGGGCTCCCTGCGATGCTTGCTTGCGTAGGCAGCATAGATGTCTTGCGGCGGCTGTCAGCTGCTTTGCACTGTACACACTCCTGAACGTGCCGCTGGCACTGGGCAGCCATATACGGAAAGTAGCAGCGGCTACGAACAACATCATACATGGTATTCCACGAACCATGACCTGTCCTCGTATGTGAAGCAGACAATATATCAGCGACTAGCTTCGATGCCACGACTGGAAGTTCTACGACTCCATCGATAGGCACAGCAGGCCATTCACGATCACAAGCTGTCAACCGACCTTCGTGAACAACTCATGAAGTGGGCGGCCTCCTTCAATCTGCGAGATCACCTCAGTGATCAGTGCATTGGTGTGCTGAGCAGCCGCAATGTCGTGTTGCTGAACTGGACCACCAGCAGGTCCACCGACGAGGCTTGCTGCAATGCTGCTCTCCTTCAACAGCGCTTTGCCGTGAGCAGTCCAGGTAGCGGGGACACGCGTTAGGATGTCAGCTCGATTCTTGGCAGACGAGACCCATACGACTATGACAGAGAGGCCAGCTACAATGACAATGTCCCACACTATCTGCAGACATCGCTGCACCCCCACATCGTGAAGGCCCTTGGTACGATCACGGTATGAGTTCGTCACCACATCGTTCATCCAGCTAGTTGCAGACTTCGAATCTGTCATGAGCCGCACTTTTGTAGCACCCCAGCAAACGACGAGGTTGAGTCCTTTGATCGTTGCTTCCAGCTCGCTCACATTGATATGTCGTGTGTCTCCGGCTGGTCGAAGCCATGATCGGTCTTCAATGACGTGTCCGTCCACTTCAACCACCACGTCCGTCCACTTCAACCACGCTAGCACAGTAGTCCATCAGCATCAGTACATCAGCATAGAACGGCTAAGACGGTAGCCTATCCTCGATGTAACTGCAGGCGGGGCGAAGCCAACTACAAACTGGCAGATGACCTGTTAGCCTACCGCACCATTTGAATATGGCATGCTTCGTCAAGACCTCCGGTACACGGAGGTTGCTGCCATCTCGGCGTCGCCAGGTGACCTCGCTTCCGGCGTCGCACACCTGCAGGCTCAATCCTCTCGACTCTTCCATCGGCTCGACGGGCTTCGTGGGCAGGCTGTACTCAAGCATCGTCTTGGCACCGGCGTCAGCGCAATTTGACGGGGTCAGCATATCATCGATGTAGCTGTCAACTTTTCGGGTAACCGCGCGTTGCATAACGGGCGATGATGCCCATGTACTTCGGTGCACTACTGAGCCCAAAGCCCATTCGTGTCATCACGTATGGCTTTCCGTTCCAAAGGACAGTCTGGTACTTCAGAAACTTCTTAGCGACGTGGACTTGGAGATACGCTTTCTTGATGTCCAAGAGCTTGAAATCTCCCGGGCAACCAGCCTTTCTCCATTTACGCAGAGACTCCTCACAGGCAGGTGCATCACCACCAGGGTCCGATTGCAGCTGGGCATTGAGTCAGCGGTAGTCGAGCATTGGTCGAACGACTGTCGTTACCTTGTGCTCTTGCACCTGGGGGAGGAGCGGTAACACTGCTGCTGGCTCACCATGCACCATCGGATCGTGTGGAATCAGCCACTCTTTCTCGATCCACTTGTCCACTTCAGCACAGAACAGGGCGTCTTGCTCTGAAGTGAGCTTCTCTCGCGAGTAAGCTGCGATGCCGAATCCAAGCATAGCCCCTGGGGCAACACCATATTTCCACTGCCAGGAAAGCTCCCACTCCCTTTTCTCCACTTTCCAGCGCACTTCGCGATCCTGCGACTGGAGAATTACGTCATGCCCATCTACATTTCGTGAGAGAGAGTAAAACTACAAGTATCGGTAAAACATCGTCCAATTTGAACTTTGACTTTGGACATCAACAAGTGCACTTGAGACGATAAAACTTGGTATGAAGGAAGGTAAGGTACAGAATGACAACTGGCCAAGAGGAATTTATTGTCCAACGAAGGGTTCATACGTTATTGGTCCTCCTTGTCGCTGCTCCCGGCGCTGG